AATAAATTGGTTAGTGATTAGTTATTTTACTTTGAACATACAAATGAATCGATATTTATTCAGGTTGAATAATTATCATTATATAATTTTCAAATTAAAAAGTATATTTCAGAAATCAATAAGATAATAGTCAAGGATATAGAAAATTTTCTTAATATTTTGAAATTCTGTCGAAAAATAAGTACTTATACATTATATTAGATACATAGCATTTATTATTATATATTCAATTAAAAGAAATGAAAAGAAAGATACAAGTATCACGTTATATTATTTAGTTATGCACATTTCAAAATATATCATTTATTAATTCTAACGGAAAAGATCATTTATTTTCTGTCAAAATAAAAATAAAAATAAAAATTGAGAGCTATATTTTAGTAATTATTATAGAGAGTAATTATAGAGAGAGAGTATTATAGAGAGTAATTATTATCATACAGATTATCGACTATAAATTATACGATTATAAGATTATTTATCTAATTGTAATTATCTAATGTTCGCGGCCCTTAAAGTCTCTAACACACGTACACATTAATTAAATGCGTTGACATCATTATGACTATATAGCGTGTTTTTTTTCACTATAATATGACTCATACGCGAGTTTCGAAACGGGACGACACATATTATCGCAGATAACAATTGTTACAATAAATCTGTATATCAATTTACCAATCAACAGCAATTGACAGCAAACATAAGTTTCCGGCACTTAGCGGCTTTATTTATACGTATACTTGCACAAATCGTTCCGTAAATCGATCACTATTGAGCTCCGCACTCACTCGTCCACCATGTCAATGAGTCTTCATCGACATTTGGTCGACTCTAGTCATTTGTGCGATTACTCGCCAGGTAATCGAAATATCGTCATGTGGTCAAGGATCGATAACGCGATTTAAGTTGGCAGAAGCACGCATGCCTGAACGTATCAACAAGTGTCGAGTTGGCAAACAGCTCTGGCTTTCGTTAGTTATGGGTACCGGCTGATTCATACGATGAGACTCAAAAATCATTTATGTAATATTGTAGATTTACATACATACGGTCAGTTTCGATCGAAAATGATCAAATGAATATTTATGGAAAGTTAGAAATAAAAGCAAGAATTATTATATAAGAGTTTTCTCTCGACAATTAATTTAACTAATATAAGTTTCATTTACTTGGAATTTATTATATTATGAAAACTTGAATATAAAGTAATAATTTGTTATTATTATCAACGACTGTTCTTTATCAATACAACAAGGATTTGCTGGAATAGAAATAAATGGTAATAGAGTAAAGCATAAATTAAATCGTCTGCTTGCATTGATATCTACAAGACTTGGGATGCTTCCTATTTAGTGATACAACTCGACACAAACATCATTCTATCTTTCTTGACATTTCAGTGAGTAACGAGTCATCATTACAGTTTTGTTATATGTGTGCCATATTTATTATTGCAATACTTAGGCCCGATTGCAACCACCATTATTTTAACTTTAAAGGCTTAAAACTGTCTGTCTCGTTTTAAAGCGAAAGAGAGATGGAGTTTTAAGCCTTGCTTAAAGTCAAAGTAACACATTGGTGCAAATAAAGATTAATAGATAGATTTAACTGATCATTATCACTGGATTCATGTGAGATAAGAAATATTTTTTTTATTCGTACTTATCAGAAAAAAATATTGCTAAATTAATTAGGTCAATTAAAAAAATTTATGTCATTCAAATGTTAATACAATTAACGATTGATATAATTATCAAATAGAAAGAATTAAATACCTCATTCATGCAGACTTATAGTGTGGAAAACGTCATTAACGAGTAAAAAACGTACCTTCTCGGCAATTTCTCGTTTTTATATAATATCGATCGTCTTCATGAAGTGTAAAACTCAATGCAAATAAACTTGAATAATAAGTGGAAATATTTGAAAGTATATATACCTTAGAGAAGAGAACACCAGTTACGTGTTATCGTTAATGTGGGTTTCCATTCGATAATGTTACGAGTTGACACAAATCGACAAAAATGTTTCCGTCTTTGTTACTCTCTGAATATCGAGAAAGGTAGAATGTGTCGACTTGAGTCGCTAAACGAAAAGTACCTAATAACGCGTCGATGATAGCTAAAAATATATATTGATGCAACAATGACTGATAACTAGTTAAATATGTAATTTACATGTTTATCACAAGGTGCTCTAGATTTATCGCAAGGTAAAATCCATTAAATTTTATATATATACCAGATAATCAGATCGTTCCATTGTACGGAAAGTACGACATAAAATGGGCTGTTACAGGAATTTGGCATGTAGGCGGTATGTAAAGAAATATATAATTTCTAATTCTAGATATATTTTTGATAACTTACATTAAAAGTTACGGGATTTTCGATGCGTCAAATTGCTAGGCGTTTTGCAGACAATTGTTTCGTTTGCGCTAAAGTGACCGTATTGATAAGATTATTCGTTAGGTGATATGTTGAGTATACGTATTCTGACTAGAAGCAGATTCTTCTCTCTGTTAAAAGTAGTCGAAACACCTAGATTTAACCTTCTCCTCGAATAATCGAATAACTGCGCGCGCAATTTATTAGTCTAATCGCTTCGTTTTCAGAGAATTCTGTATGATATAAACAGAAACATACATGTCTTTCAATATTTGACTGCATATATGTCTTTCAATCTGAAACTAGTTAATATATGTTCTGCTTTATTACGTTCAAGTAATCGCAAATGTAATTATTAATATTATTCAATCATAAAATTGCTACTTTTTTCCGTCAATATTACTGCTATAGAAAGTACAAAATTTGAGAAAATTTTGCTCGTAGATTGCTGAAACATAAATAGAATAAAATTTTATTAGCTTCTTGATATAGATCGAATTATCTAACAGTCTATAATATTTAATATTTATGCGAAAAATGTGTATCGATTACGTAAACTTACATGTTACTACTAGAACTTTGGGGCCATAGAGATTATATAATCGTTTGACCTGGAAAACAAATCAGAAAAAATGTCGAGTCGAGCACAAATGATAAAAATAATTGCCAAAAATAATCGAGAGAGATAAATACGATAAAGAAAGAGTGTGTGTGTGTATATGTTGATTAAGGGGATCCTAAAACTGTATGTATTACCGACTAAATAATATAATTTTTGTATAACAAATACTCTTTTTCTTTTTCACAGATTCGAAAATCCTTTTTCATGATTAAAATATATGTAATACGTGTTTATGAGGTGGATTTTATGCTGAGAA